ATTCCAGGGACGAAAGGATTTTTTTCAACACACATTAACAAAATGCAGCATCCATTCATGACAATACCTCTTAACAAAGTGAGTGTAGAAGGGACGTACCTCAACATAATAAAGACCATATATTATCAGCCCACAGCTAACATCATATTCAATGTTGAAAAGCTGAAAACTTTTAAGATCAGGAACAAGACAGGATGTCCACTCTTACTACTTTTATTCAACATAGTACTTACTGGAAGTCCTAGTCAGAGCAGTTACACAACAGGAAAAAAAAAAAAGGCATACAAATCAGAAAGGAAGAAGCAAACTGTACATCTGCAGATGAAATGACACTATATACACAAAATCTTAAAGGCTCCACCAAAAAACCTGTTGGAATTAATTGAAAACTTCAGTAAAGTTGCAGGATACAAAGTCAATATACAAAACCCCATTACATTTCTATTAATATACACTAATAACAAACCATTGGAAAGAGAGCAATTTTATGTGCCATGCATCAAAATGCAACTGTAGAAGACATAAATAAATGGTAAGATACTCTATGTTCATGAGCTAGAAGAATTAATATTGTTAAGATGTTCCTACTACCCAAAATGACCTACAGATTCAATGCAATTCCTATCAAAATTCCAATGGTATTTTTTACAAAAAAAGAAAATAAATCTTAAAACTTGTACAGAATCACAAGACTCTAAATACCCAAGGCAATCTTAAGGAGAACAAAGGTGGAGGTATCATGCCTCTGATTTCAAACTATACTTTAAAGTCACAATATTGGGATAAAAATGGACATGTTAAATGAATGAAAAAGAACAGAGCCCAGACATAAACCCATGCATATATGGTCAATTAATTTATAACAAAGGAGCCAAGAATAAACAAAGGAAAAGGGCAGTCTCTTTGATAAATGGTGCTGGGAAAACTGAACAACCACATGCAGAAGAATGAAACTTAAGCCCAGTCCTACAGTATGCACAAAAATCAACTGAAAATGGAATGCAGACTTGAACAAAGGCTGAAACCATAAAACTCCTAGAAGAAAACACAGGAGGGTAAACTCCTTCACATCGATCCTAGCAATGATTTTTTGGATTTGACATGAACAGCAAAAGCAGCAAAAGCAAAACTAAACTGTGATTAAATCAAACTAAAAGCTTCTCTATAGCAAAGGAAACCATTAAAAAATGAAACGGAGAAAATATTTGCAAATCTTGTATCTGATAAAGGGTTAATATCCACAACCTATAAAGAACTCATATAACACAATATCAAAAGAGAACAAGTCCCACCTATCAATCAGAGTAAAAATGGGCAGAGGGACTTAATGTCCACTTTTCCAAAAAAGACATACAAACGGCCAACAAGTAAAGGGAGAGGTGCTCCCTCAATAACCAACAGGGAGACACAAATCAAAACCACAATGAGGTTGTCACCTCCCACCTGTTAGAATGGCTATTGTCAAAAGGGTAACAACACACACTGACAAGGGTGTGGAGAAATGGGAGCCCTGGTGCACTGTCGGTGGGAACGTAAATTGCAGGCACTAAGCGGAGAAGGCAAACGCACCCCACTCCAGTGTTCTTGCCTGGAAAATCCCAGGGAGGGGGGAGCCTGGTGGGCTGCCGTCTATGGGGTCGCACAGAGTTGGACACGATGGAAGCGACTTAGCAGCAGGCACTACAGAACAGTACAGAGATTCCTCAACAAATTAAAAATAGAATTACCACAAGATCCAACAATTCCACTTCTAGCATACAGTCAAAGGATATGAAATCACTATCTTGAATGAAATCTGCACCCTCATGTCAGTACATCATTATTTACAATAGCCAAGACGTGGAAACAACCTCTATCTCCATTGACAGATGAATGGATACAGAAAATGTGATGTGTATATACAGAGAGAGACAGTGATATATTATTCAGCCATAAAAGGAAGGAAATCCTACTATTTGCAATAATATGGATGGATCTTGAAGGCATTATGATAAGTGAGATAAGTCAAACAGAGAAAGACAAATAACCATATGATTTCACTTACATTTGGAATCCACAAAAACCAGAGCTGGTGATTATTAGAGCCAAGGGGTCAAAAGTGGGTAAAAAGGGTCAAAGTGGATAAAGTGGTCAAAGGGTACTAATTTCTTATTATAACATAAATAAGTTCTGGCAGTATAACATACAGCATGATGATGGCAGTTAACAGTATTTTCTATCTGAAAGTTGTTAAGAGAATGGATCTTACAAGTTCTCATCATGAGAAAAAAAAAACCCAAAAACTGTGTGATGCACCAGAACTTGCTGTGGGGATTAAGTAGAAAGTGTGCGTGAAGCTCCTGACGTAGAGCACGCACAAAATAAATGTTGTCAATTATAATCTTCCTCTTTTCCCCTCCCGTATCATTGCTTATCCTGATTCTTTTGCCTTGGTATATACTCCTTCCCTTCCATTTTCCTTATCACTGAAAGGTTATTCATTCTTTAAGTATCAGATGAAATGCTATATTTCTTTTTTTTTTTTGAAATGCTATATTTCATATGAAGCCTTTCACCATCTTTTTATCAACCTAAAAAGAGCACTTTTTATTTTAGATTCACTTTTTACTTTTCATATTTTACTGTGGTGAATGTTTCCCTTACCAGACTATAAGCTTTGGGAGGGAAGGGACAATATATGGTTAATCTACTTCCTAAAATTTAACCAGTACTCTATCTTTAGAAGGTTTCATACATACATTTACTAAGAACAGAAATAAGAAAAGCAAGTATGCCCATCAGAGTTCGGGGAGTTAACCTGGAGTTGTGCATGTGCAGGTAGTGAAGTAAGTGATTAGCAAGCAAGAATCCAAGACAAGAGAGAAGATAAAAAGAAGAGAACTTCTGACGTGGTTTTTCCATCTCCCAGATAAGTTAGGGATCCATGAAACCTCTCTATAGAACCCCAGAAACTTGAGCTGTCTCCCTTTAGATTTCTTTCTGGTTAGGACTTGAGTACATTGTTCCTTGATACTCCTTTCTCCATCTCTAGAGTAAAGACTTAAATTTAGATTAAATGATTCAGAATTTCACAGCTGGAATTACATATTAGAAAACACCCAAACTCAATCATTTGACAGATATGGAAATGTAATCGACAGAAGTTAAATTATGCAAAGTTATACAGTTAATAAACAACAGAGCTGGGAATTCCCTGGTGGTTTATGGGTTCGAACTCTGTGTTCGAACTTTGTGTTCTCAATGCTGAGGTCCTGAGTTCAATCCCTGGTTGAGGATCTAACATCCGGTAAGCTGTGTGGTGCAGCCAAAACAAACAAACATACAAACAAACCCAACAGAACTGACCTAGTTACAATCTCAATACTCTTTCACTCTACTTAAACAAGTTAGAATTCTAGCATATGTCAAAATGAGTGTACAACATGATCATGAGACATATATGCTATATATTTTTTCCAAATACATCCCCGTATTACCACAATACTGATTCAAATTCAGTCCACCATGATATTCATTTTATGCTGGCTATCTCTGTAATAAATAATTCTATTTTATATTTGCATGAAGTTTACCCTGAGTTATCTTTTATCAAGCTGTATCTTGTCTATTTCGTTGGTGTCACTAGAATTTTTCATAGATTATAGTTTCCCAAGCACTTGACCCATCTGACCCAATTCGCACATCTATATTAATGAGGGAGCAGCATTAACCCTATATAATCCTGTAGATAATCAGTATGCCTCTGTAGAAATAAAACAACTAAGTAAAATTTCCAAAGGTTGAGAACTTAGTAATATAAACTCTACAAAAACATCAGTTATGATTTCTAGAGGGCTCAAAAAAAGAGAAATAATAAAGTTACAAACTGTAGTTAAGTCAAAAACCTTACCTTTAAGTTAAAAGCCAGCAAAAATAATTTATTAAAACCTCTGTTAACATTTGCTGAAACGGAAACTAAAAGCAAAGACACTTAAAGACATATAGATGGTCTACCGATCTACAGAAAGATACCTAATCTTACTTTAGGCCACATTTAAAAAGATGTCACTGTTAACACACAGGAGATATGGGTCATTTTCACAAACCACATAACATTTTTTGACTGTTAATTACTTCTACATTAAAAGATAAGGACAAACCACACGAAGCATAAGGAACTGAAACAAAAACAGTAAGAGGAAGAGCATGAACCCAAATATATTAATCTTACTGATAGAATTTTTAAAACATAAAGTATACTAATTTGTTTGAAACATAGGCTTGGTCCATTAAAAAGAAAGTGTAACCAATTCATACTACTTATATGCATAGTTTTATGATAAAATGTAGCTCATCCATCAAATCAAGAATACTAAAGAAATTCAGCTAAGAGTCCTTAAAAAATGGCAGGGTATGGGGCAGAGGATGAGTGGATGAAAGAAAATAAAATTGCCCTCAATTTTTAAATGTTCATACACTTTGGTATATATTAAAAGCTCGTTTACCTAATTTTTAAGAGACAGACAGAGTGTGGTCCTCCAGCAGTTTAAATGAAATCAGGATCGAAAGGGAATGAAGAGGGTGTGCAAAAGGGCGGCACACAGGGCCCCTGGGAAGAAAAGGTGGGGACCTGGACTCAGCAACCTGGATGGCTGGGCCCCATCCTCTTGGTAAGTACACTTGATGCCTTTTTTGTGCCTGCTATTAATACCTGCTGACTTTTCTCTGAAAACCAGTGAGATCGCTTAAGTCCTCTTGACTTTACACTGATTCTCCTGGTCTCAAAGAGACAAACCGAATTAGTATTTGAAAGCCTGGATATACTCTGCAGCTGCTAGACTCCGCCATTCCAGACTATAGGCTTTTAGTCTATTAGGACTCTCTCCCAAACGGTCTGAATCAGGATATAAACACCTGATTCATCCACATGAGTTCACTCACTGTTGCACGCGTAATTTATAGAAAGCAGTAGAAGCCATATTAATTAGAAAAACTGTTGACATAAGTAGCATACACGGTACCTTTTGATAAACAATGGAGCAGACAAGGTCCTTGACAGCAGACAAAGACAGCTCCTGGGCTTCGATGGCAATGCTCTCCCGCGTAAGGCCAATCTGCAGCAGAAACGAGACTGTGTGCACCGAGCCTCTGGAGTTGGTGAGTGACGGCGCCCTGAAGCTGCCATCGGAGAGCCGTGCGGAGAGCCCCGTTTTGGGACTGGAGCACGGAGAAGGAGCTGGGAGCACAGCAGGAAGAGTGGCAGGTACTACGGACTTCTGAGCTGATGCAGGAGAGCTGTTTGCAGACATCTGCCTTTCTTTAATCTTTTAAAACAGTTGTCAATTCTTTTTCAATGGTTATGAAGAGGCCTTAAAATCACAGCGGTGAAAAAATGACTGTAGTTTTGGATTCAGTTGAAAGCTTCTTTATTTCCTCCTTTAAGCCACTCATGCTGATGATGGCAAGTTCTACAACTCTGAGTTGACTATACCAAAGGTTCCACTTCCCTTAATATCAGTCCCATCAAAAAAGTCTTGTTGTTAGGACCACAACCAGGGTTTGGGGAAGGATTTAACATCACTGAATTATCCTCATCAGAAGACAGCTGGCATTGTTTATCTACTAAACATCTTCACCTATTTTAAGTCTATTCTTGTCGCTCTCTTTTAATTTCATAAAATACATAATGAATAAGAGTTGTTTTTCTGTCAAAATCCTCCTAGTTTAAAAATTAAAGTGTTTAGGATTAATCTATTCAGTTCGTATCCTTTGGTTCATTGATCTAACGGGACACTTTCTCAAATGTCCACACCTTAAATCACCTTCTCACATGTCCTCATTTTCATTTTGAAGGAGTAAATTTTTCCAAGATTAAGCACAAAGCTTTTTAAAATAGAACAGGTATATTCCACTTGATGAACGCGTCCATTGAGAAAGGTTGATGCTTTCTGAAATGTAGGTAGCCTGGAAGAAATTTTTATAAAACTTTTAATATTTTATACTCACTTAACATTATTTTTAAATTGTAAGAATCCTTACGCTTTCTTTAAATAAGCTTTGGTTGTATGTTTATAATTCACCAATAAATTTTAACAGGTAGCCATTTTATTGGGGCCTACTTATCACAGCCCATAATTTCAGGGACAGTCTGCTGCTCAAAAAACAAAAGAGAAACAAAACACACCCCTGACATTCCTCACTAACACCTGAAACTTAAGGAAGGTCAAAACACTTTATTCCAGAAATACACAACTGAGTTATGACAAAAACAGAAAAACAGAAGCGACAAAAAAGAAAAGTAAAACTGATACTGTCATAGAAATAAATACCACTCAGTCGTACAAAAGATATATAATACTGCCCTAATGTAGACAAGAGTATTCTTTATTGTATTAAAAGTTTAAATCTAGACAGAAAACTAAAAAAGCATATACTAAACAGAGTTATATAGCACACAAAGAAGTGTAAAAGACACAATTAAGACAGGAAGATCGGAAAAAGTGATCTGTCACAAAAAAATTTCTAAAAGTAAAAAGAACACTAAGCACAGTTATATTTATCACAGTTTTTCATAAAGACAGTTCAAAAACTAAAAGCATGACCTAATGGCTAAGTGAAATGGCTCAAAAAGAGATGGATCTTTCTATTTAGGTTCCATCACATACCTGTAAACAATCCTAATAATAACAAAGAGTGAAGCACTCCAAGCAGCTGCAGAATGGCTCTCTGGACAGTGGTTAACAGGACTAAATAAATTAGGATCAACATAACATAAGATCTAACATAAGATATAACTATAAGATATAGTATTAGGAATGAGAATGTTCAGGAAAACGAAGGCTTAAGAAAAAACTGCCTAAAAATAACAAAAGCTTTTAGAACTACATTCAGGTAAACAATTTGTAACTCATCTTATATTGTACAGCACTTAACATCTTATAAATGTTTATACACTTTATCTCATGGTATCTCTTTTGAACTTGACAACGCAAACACTACTTTATTATTTTTGCAGATGAGAAAACTGAAGAACTAGCAGATAAAGTAACCTGCCCAGCATCACATGGTTAGTAAGAGATGGAATAGGAATTAGGATCTATTAGGCAGGCAAGTTTCATACTTTCCGACCCAGTGGTATCTCCACAATAACATACTATTTCTCAAAGAGAACAAGGAACTGAGAAAATCACTGCTCAGTGAGGATGTTAAGGTTGAAAGAGCACAGAGAGAAGGCAGAATTGCTCAACTGTACTTTGCTTACCTTCTCTCAGTTTTTAAACTAAAACTGTAAAAGAGCACTGAGAACTGAAACTTGAGCCTGGTGAATAAGACAAACTAAAAGATCTTGAGAGTACAAGTCTGCAGGTCCAGATGCAATCTACTCCATATTGCAAAATCAGTTAAGTGCAATCACAAACCTGACTCTTAACCTTCCTGGAGAAAGAGCTCAGAGAGAAACAACCATGGACTGGAGATGTGGCAGAGTTGTTCAAGTTTTGTGGGCTAGAGGAATAGGGAAGCAATTTCAGAAACTACAGAATATAACCTTAATATTAACCTTCAGTCACATGTGAAAACAGATTATGAAAGCAAGCAGTTTCTGAATACTTTCAAAAGCGTATTATGATCACTAGAGGTGAGCTTGAATTCAAACAGAATAACACCAAATCAACTAGACTTACATCTTTGAAAAATGTGATTATTAGCCTTTTTAGAAGGAGAAAATAGTAACTCACAGTAATTGAGTTCTTTCTGTCAGACGCTGTTCTAAGCATTCCATATGTTTCCTCATTTAATCCTCACAACAATTCACTTTATAGTTGAGAAAACTGGTCTAGATACTAAAGGACTTGCCCAAGATCACACAATTAGCAAAGCCAGAAAAAAATTAAGTGTATTCTGGCTGAAACAATATTCAAGATGGTATTCCATGCTATTTTTGTAAATAAGCTGCTTAAGCCTAAGTTGGATGTTAGTGTAGTTTGCTGCTCTTTATCAACTTAAAGAAACCTTTAGGAGAGTGCCCTGGAACTCTGGCCTTGGCCCTATATTATTTTTGATTATTTATAAGATTACAAAGACACGGAAAACATGTTTATAAAATCCTCAGATTGTACAGTCTGAGAAAAATAAACTAAAATTCAAGTGAACTATAACAATGACAAGTGTAAAGCTCTGCATTTAAAAAGTTAAATGTGCAATATTGAAATGGAGAAATGTTGATGTAGAACCTGTTCATTAGAGGAGTTATCAACCCAAGAGTTTAACAGCAGCTGCTACTAATAATATGGGTGACTAAAAGAACTAACATAAACCCAAATCCCCAGGACACTGAGAACACAGCAGTATCAACCAGTATACTGGTTGCTAATCAGGTTACATTACCACAGTTACATTTTAACCCCTCTACATTTTTAAAGGCTGTATTGATTTTCAAAGACAATAGAGTATATATCCAGGTTAAGGTGAAGATAATGTCAAGTGACAAATTATGCATAATAAAAACGAATAAAATGATGGTCTTCAAATATCTGAAAAGTTGATAAGAGAATAACTGTTTTTTCCCCTATTTTTAAACGGATGATTTATTTCTTGCTCTTGGTAACAATGTATTCACTTATGAAGTGTTATCCCTACTTACACCACACAGCCAGGAAGTTGTGTTGATGGACAACTTGTGGATACAGAGCAAACATAAGATTAAGGAATTAACAGAGAATAATTGGTTTATTCAGTATCACTGCAGAGGGCAGAAATAAAATGAAGACAACAACACTATTTACTTACCTTACAGGATGTTAATGAGGACTGCGCTACTATATGGACAATACACTTCTGGCTTATCAGAAGTGCTCAGTAAGTTTCAGCAATTTTCATAGTATTTAGAGTAAATAATTAATAATTAAGCTCCCACTTTACACTAAACTCTGCAATTAAGATACACTTTATTAAACCCCTGCTCTGACCGCAGGGAATCTGTTGAACTCTGTTTTACAGAAAAGGAGCCAGAGTTTCAGAATAGTTGCTTGCCCATGACTATACAGCTAATAAGTGATGGAACTGCAATTCACATCAAAGGCCCTCTGACTCCGAAGACCGTGTTCTTTATACTACTACATGTCACCTCCAACAATCTAGAACACGTTTTCTCATGAGGTAAAAGGTTCTCAACATACATGACTTGAGCAGTTTCAAAAAAAGCTGAATAAACTTCATAAAAACGTTAGCAAAATATCGATGAATAGTACTGCATGCAGGTTAAATACTTTAAATGACAAGATACTGCTGTGTTCAATAATAACAACTTATTTTTGACGGCTGTCTTCCCACTAAATTTCCAAATAATACCTGCTAATGTCAGCCAAATAACAGTAGCTGTCTTATAATTACAATCAATGATCAGTACTATCAATAACTACTAGTAAACTATGTCTTACTTTTATATTAAAGTATTTGTTAAAGTTTCAGCATGAACACAAATAGAAAAAGTGAGCTGTCTTAGCTTTTGCCCACTCATCCCATCTGTTTTCTCTCTCCCTGTTTTGTTTTATGAACCTTGATTTGATCTGAGGTATAGCCTTAAAACATTAAGACTAAATTAAAAAAAAAAAGAAATACTTCTAGTTTATTTTGTCTTTATGCTTCAATCACAAAACAAACAATAGTACATTTTACAAATTTATAAATCAATTAGATATGTTTGTTCCTAATAGCTATGAGTTGGCAAGCATTTTTATTTGAAACATCTCAAATACTCTTTTGGGGAATTATCTGTCATGTATTTTATTCAAATAAGCATAAAATCTGTCACTATTGTTGAATGGAGTAAAAAAGGTGGCATATTAAAGGAATTTTGAGTCCAACCTGCCCTATTATTACTACAGGGTAAAAACAAAGGTCCTGGAGGCTAGGGAACTTAACTGAGAGTTACTTCATGGTAACATCACAATTTGAGCTCTCTCTCAATCCTTCCCTACGTTTACATTATCTCATTCCTTAGCAAAGCCTCTAATTATAAGAAGCTCAAAAGCAGCATTTTCATTCAACAAATGTAATGGATCAGATAGTAAAGAATCTGCCTGCAATGTGGGAGACCTGGGTTCGATCCCTGCGTTGGGAGGATCCCCTGGAGTAGGAAATGGCAACCCACTCCAGCATTCTTGCCTGGAGAATTCCATGGACAGAGGAGCCTGGTCCATAATGTCACAAAGAGTCAGACATGACTGAGGGACTAATACTATACTTTATCATTTGCTAGACTGTTATGAGAAACTCTAGGCTACTAGAGTGACCAAAACACATATGGCTACTGCTCTCCCTGGAGCTTGCTGTGTGATACGGGATACACGCATTAAACAAATATTCGTATTAACAGCAAAGCAATTACAAATTATGAAAGGTGATGTGGCAGAGTATCTTGAGAGGACCTAATTTCAACTGGGGTCACAGGCAAGGCACCTTTAAGGAAGCTAAAACCTAAAGGATAAGTAGGAGTCAGGGAAACAGAGAGAGAAGCAAAGAGGATTCCAGAAAGACAAAACAAATCCAGCTAGGAGATACTTCAAAAGGGAAGCTCATTATTTAGTGTAGCCAACGTCCTTCTTAAACTCAGTAAAGGTAACAGTGAAGAGGTAAACACTTTCTCTATTCATAATAGCGTAATATTTACCATGATTCTCTACTAGTAACAGGTTTTCCTGGTTTGACTTAGTTTTGTGTGCTAGGAATGCTAATGAACGCAGATAATTTTTTTTTCTTCTGTTGATAAGCACTGTATTATTTTAATATGTAAAAAAGCATGTGGTGTTTTTCAGTGCAATACTTTACAAGTGTCCTGAAGTCAGTATCCATGTTCTACCTCGATACGGGCTTGACTTTGCTTAATAACCCTGATGTTGCTTTTATAGTGTATAAAAAATACAAATAACTTTATTGTTGGTTTTTAAAAAATCATAGTTTCTAGCAATTCCTACATCTATTTATTTTCAAAAATGTAACTATTACCTTAGATTAATATAAATACTTTTCCTCCTAAGAGCTCAGCATTAACTAAATTGTTGCTGGTAAAATTCTGTTCATCTAAACCATGGGTATTTGCATCTCAGTCTTTCCCACAGTCAGAGAACAGAGAGTGAGCACACCAAGCCCCCTCTCTCAGGCAATGAAAACTTTATCTGCTGTTAAGATTACAAACTTCCAGTCTACAAATTTATGTTGGGCTTGATGTATCTACATCACCTCTCTCCTCTCTTTGCATCAGTGGTATCTGAGAAATCTGACTAGCTAACAGCCAGAGAGCTATTTCATACTTATGGTCACTATAAACTGACCACAGAAGTGGAGAAAACTTTTCTCTACACTGAAATTAAAATTAAAACGTCTCCAGAACATTATCTCAAGTTTTTTCATTAATGAGACAACTGCTCCAAAGAGGCTCACATACAAGTTCAATTTGAATTACATAATCAGAGAGACTCAAAGTACTATCTGCACAGATTATGAATCACAAGCATAATTATTATTAAATCAAATGTAAAGCTGTATTAGCCAATAATTTCCTAATATCAAGTTCTGTAAAAGTAGTTTCTTTTTAAAATGAGCAATTAACTTCAATATGGTAATATTTTCATCAACTTTAAATGACCATTTATTCTCTTTCCTCCTGTAGGGGATTTTTCCAATTCTTATATAACTTTAAAAATTTAATGTCCGAAAACTTGATGTATTAAGCTTTTTGGGGAATATGGCAGTTTTTAGATGAAATGCGACCCACTAAGAGATATTTCTATTTTAAACAGGTCACCTCATGAAACTGAAAGCTTATAAAACCTATATATTTAAAAGACTCACTACGATTCATCTCAAGATAATAAACAAGTCAACATTCTTAACTTAGGATGGAAAACTGGCTTGTCAAATGAAGTTCCTCTGATCAGGCCGACCACCATCTACATGACCTACTGAAGCAAAACCTAACACGAAGGCTTCTGTGACACGTTTTACATACTTTTATTAAAACGTGAAACTTTTTGGCTGAAATGTCCATGCTTGCTCTGAATCCAGATGCTAACAGGAGGGAGAAGCGGGCTCCCCTATTAAGTAAACCTGGCCTAGACCCTGCTCGGGGCAACGAATCCAAAGATATTCCCCCACCCTCGCTGCATTCAACTTGGGTAAGTAATCTTGATCTAAGCAAAATCACAGCCGCTAAAACTTGAAAAACTGAAGCAGTGAGTACAAAGTAGCAGCAGTGTAAGAGTAATATAACAGTTTCTAGAGTACAAATTACGGTCTTTTAAAAGTTTTCATTTGCCTCCACAGCTCATTAAGGCTGTGTCTAACCAAGTTCAGGGTGTAACTTATCCTTCCTAATCAAAGATGACACTGATAGTCTTATTTCCTGTGGGGATGGGTGTGGTTGAAGAGACAGTTACGTCCAAGCCATCAATCTGTGTATGGAAAAGTCTGCAGCTCTCACACATGCCGTCGCTCGATTTATATTCGTGCCCGCTGCACACGGCAAGGCCTCTGCTTCTGACTTCAAATAAAATCTCCAACAGGCAATCGAATAGTCTGTGGTTATTTTATTGCTCAAAGAAAGAGACGCTCTCCTCAGTGTTTCATCTTAAGAAAAACCTCCCGGGGGTGAGACTGACTCGGAACAACGGGGCAACTTGCAAAACTAAACAAGAGTCAGGAAACTGGGGTGGGGGCTTACGTTCCCTAAGCACCAACGACACAACCCTTTGAGACGGCTACAAGGAAAAGCGGTGTAAAGAAAAGGGAAAGGCTCATCCCAAATTCGGCAGCGTGAGTGCCGCCCGTCTGGCGTCTGGAGCTGGTTGCGGGGGGGAGGGGGGATCCGGTAAGAGATGGAGACCGAGGGGCCGAGCGCGGTGGTCGCCGGCGTACCGTGACTCCAAGTTGGCGTCGGCGCCCTCGCCGGAACTTGGCCCCATCTGGCGGCCGCGCCGGCGCCCCCGCTCGCCGGGGCGCCCACCGCCCGCTCCTCCCGCCGCGCGCTCCGCCAACTTCCCGCCCAGCCCCGGCGGCCGCCGCCCAGCCCGGCGCAGGGTCCGAGTCCCGCCGCCCTCGTCGTCGCCGCCGCGTGCGGGCGGGTGGGGGAGGGGCGGCCGCCGCCAACGCCGCCTCACCCGACGGGCCGGGAGAACAAAGCGGCGGCCGCGGCGGCGCTAACTTTTTCGGTGTCTGTTCCGCGCTCCCCGAGGCGACTACTTACAGAGCCTGGCTCGGCCGGTCGTGAGAAACTCCAAGCCTGCCAGCGTCTGGGTCCTGGACCAGGAGCCAGCGAGGCTTCACGCGCCTCGCGGAATCCCGCCCGCCACAGGCGCCCCTTCTTCCCTCCCTCCCTCCGCCCCGTCCCGTCCTGAGGCCCGAGGGCGGGGGGCCGGGGCGTGCGAGGCGGGGGCGCGCGAGGGGCGGGGGCGCGCGGCCGGCGCGGGGCCTGCCGGGAGCTGTAGTCTCCCCGCGAGCTCGAAGCCGTGGTGGCCGCGTGGGGCTGTGGCTCACTGGCTTGACCCGGCGCGGGAGCAACAGGAGCTCCGATGCTTTCGGGCTCCCTCTGCACCCTCCGAGGTCCTGGCGTCTCCGTGAGCGCTGGGGAGCGGGGCGCGACCGTCTACCTATTCCAGTTACGCCCTGTACTTGATAACCATTATTGCTTCTGAACTGCCTTTTTCTCTTTTGTCGTCCGCTCTGATGTAGATGATGGTTGCACGGGGGCAGGAGGTGACAAGTCCGGAACTTGTAAGGGGTCTACAGCAGAGAACAGTTTCCACACTGAGGTGTCTTCTCACTGCTCCCCCTGTTTCCCTCCCCAGTGCTTAGCCTCCCGGTGGCCACTTGGCACTGCGTCCCAGGGTGTTCCACACCTAGGCAGATACATCCAGAGCCCTTCGCCTAAAGCAGAGTACACCGGCTCTGTCTTCAGTATGTTCTGTGTATCCTACTTGTCCATCTTTAAACTTGAGTGTGTCCCCTATCATCAGAGCGAAGTGCCCCCAAGAATCTTGGAACCTAGGTTTCCACGTGGCATTGACAAGAGTGACAATGCCAGGTGAGGAGAGACGGGGTGGAAGGATATCTAGAGGGAAAATACCCTAGGTGTTAAATTAAACGTGTTTTGCGTGAGAGAAAATCGTGAACAGCTGACACACATAGTCCCAGAAACGACCTAGTCCTCGTTGAGTCCAAATTTCATCCCCAAAGTACTTAAGTAAAATATACTGAAAGAAGCGGATGGGTTGCAGGCAATAATTCATCCATCCAGTGCAGAGGTCGAGGACAGTCTTTGAGATTAGGAAGAAAAAAAGCTAAGTGGGTCCCTCCTTTTTATTCCAAGTCATCAGTCTTACTGGATGTCCCTGGCTTTAAAGTTAAATGGGAATTTTAAAATAATTTATATTAAAGATGGGGCAAGTAAAATTGTGTATAACTCTGGTCTACTCTGAAGCTGTATTTTTAAATTTTGGGGAATTCAAAGATACTACATGTCTCACATTCAGTAATATCTAATTCAATCTAATTATATTTTATATGTGGTATTATTCTGCTATTCTTTTGCATTAAAATTGAAAGTAAATCCACTCAATGTTATGTTTAAAATTAAAAACATATCTAGGCTCTTACTTAACTTTGCCTTTTTCTTCCCTTCTCTTCCCAACTGATGTTTTAGTCCAACCCCAAATACCTTCTCTCAGCAAGACTCCCAGGAGCTCATTGGACCTGTTTACAGCCAGTCCCTTCTTACTAGTGACTTCCATTTTCACTCGTGGTTCTTAAAGAGACAGAAGTTACCCTTTCTAGAAGTAACTTTTCTAAATGAAGCAACTTGCTATTTTATAGAGGTGCAAATGCGTGTGTGTGTGTGTGTGTGTGTGTGTATGGGGCTTCTCAGCTGGCTCGGTGGTAAGGAATCTGCCCAGCATGCAGAAGATGCGGGTTTGATCCCTGGCTCAGGAAGATGCTCCAGAGTAGGAAATAACAACCTGCTCCAGTATTTTTCCTGGAAAATTCCATGGACAGAGGAGCCTGGCTGGCTACCATTTATGGGGTCACAAAGAATCAAACATGATTAGCACACACGCACATGTGTATATATACATACATATACCTATATATGTATGTATATCTTCATTTCATTTCCACTTTTTCACTTCTCTTTTTAGAAATAAAATCATCTCCTCCATTCTAGGTGAGTCTTTCAACAATACATTTAAGACTATCTGTACCTGTAATTTTTTTGCTTGACATGAACTACAATTTTCTCAAGATGTTCCATTCTTATTCCAAGAGGACTGATAGGATAAAGATTAGGTATATTAAGTAAATGTGAGATTTTTATACTTGAGAGAAAATATAATCAGACTAAGATGGAAA